GGGAAAACTAAACTGAATGCTGGGAGAAAGAAGGTGAAGTCAGGAGAAGCCATGTAGCCCCACTGGAAACAGACACTGGAACTTTACCCAGTAAGCCAGTCACGTGGCGATATACAGATTTATAGAGATGGGTTAAATTAAGATATAAGACTTAGCCAGAAATACGCTTAAGCTATTGGCCAAACGGTATTGCAAATAATATGGTTTGTGAGTGATTATTTTGGGGCTGAGCAGCCAGGAACAAACAAACAGACTCCTACTACATGTGCACATGTGTGTGTATATAAAATGTCACATTTTCCTCATCCATTCCTCTGTTTTTAATGGTCGGGTTGGTTCCATAATTTAGCTATGTGAATAACTATGAATGTACAAGTGTCTTCGTGATATGTTGACTTAGAATCCTGAGCATAAACACAGCTGGGTCACACGGAAGATCTATTGTTAAGGTTTTAGAACAACCTCCGCATTGACTTTCCAGAGGCTAGCCCAGCTTGCATCCCCATCAGCAGGGTCTCCGGGTCCCTTCTGTCTAATTTCTTCCAAGCGTCCGTGGTCATTTTTTATCTTAATGACTGCTATCTTGACGGAGACAAAATGGAATCTCAATGTACTGTAATTCACAGTTCTCTGATGGCTAATGAAATGGAGAAATTGTTTCATTGCTTTTAGCTATTTGTGAGGTTTTTTTTTTAATTTAACGACTTACTCATTTATTTATTTGAGAGTGAGGGACATTCTTGCTGCTTGTAGGAGTGAGAAGACAACTTCTTTCAGGAGTCGGCCCTCTTCCATCGTGTGTGTTCTAGGGAAGGAACTAAGACCGTCTGGCTCATTGCCGAGTGCCTCTGCACCCTCTGCCAACCTCCTGGGCCTTCATTTCATCTTTTGAAAACCCACCTGTTCATTTCATTGGCTCGCTTATTAATTGAGTCATTTGAATTCTTATTGCTTACATTTTTAGTTCCTTGCTCTCTTTCCGTTTTTTGCTTGTTTTGTTTTGTTGATCTTTTGAGACATGGTTTCTCTGTGTAATAGCCCCGGTTTTCCTGGAACTCGCTTTGTAGACCAGGCTGGCCTTGAACTCACAGAGAGCTGCCTGCGCCTGCCTTCCAAGAGCTGAAGTTAAAGGCGTGCGCCACAACCACCTGGCCTACTCTCTTAGTTCTTTGTATTGTCTAGATACTAACGCTTTGCCAGATAAACGGTGTGTGAAGATTTTTCTCCCACCCTGTATGCTGTCCCTTTGCCCAATTAAGAGATCCTTCACTATGCAGAAGTCTTTTAGTTTCACGAGGTCTCATTTGGCAACAGTGGGACGTTGTTCTTGAGCAGAACGTTTCGATAGTAATTCTGAATACTAGTGGTCCCTGTATCACAACCGAAAGACACAAGCTGCAGATTGGATCAAAGCAAACAAACAAACAAAGAAACAAACCAAAAACCAGGATCCATCTATTTGTTGCCATCAAAAAAAAAAAAAATGAACCACAACATCAAAGATAACAAACACTGCCTTAAAGGGGAACCGGCAGAAAAGGATGTCCAAGCAAATGGGTCTCAGAAACAAGCCAGTGCCACTGCTTAAATATCAGATTTCAGTACAGAACTAATCAGAAGGTAGAGAGGGTCACCTCATACGGACTGAGAGACAATCCATCAAGAGGACATTGTAGTTCCAAACACTGATGTATGAATAAACCAAATTCTGCTGAGAGTAAAGTCATGAATTAACTCCAACACTGTAAACGGGTGACTTCATACCTCATTATTATCAGTAGACAAAAAAAGCATCTGAGTTATGGCAGCCCCAACAGATTAACTTAAAAATGGAAGCAACTCTTTAGGTTAGTAGCTCCACACAGCCGTACAGGCTGCCACTGCCTGTGGCCTGCATGTGATTCCAGCGCAGCTCGTGGCTCCGTTGAGGTCACAGATCAAATGGACAAACTAGTAACGCAATGACCCCTTAAGGCCTCAGAAAAACCAGAACAAGCTAAACCGAAATGCAACAGACCAGGTGTGATGGTTTGAATGAGAATGGCCCTCAGGGCCAATTTTTTTGTTTGTTTATTTGTTTGAATGCTTGTCCCTGGTTAACTGGAACTGTTTGAGAAGAATTAGAAGAGGGAGAAACACAGGGTGAGTTTTGAGGCTTCAAAAACCCACAGCAAGCCCTGTTTCTCACTCTCCATTGGCCTGGATCATGTGAACTCTCAGCTGCTGCTCCATGGCCTGCCTGCCTGCCCGCCATGCTCCCCACCGTGATGATAATGAACTAACCCCTCTGAAGCTGTAAGACAGCCCCACAGTTAGATATTTTCATGGGGTCTCTTCACAGCAACAGAATAGTAGCTGAGACAGATGGGAAAAATAATTACGATCAGGGCAGAGATTAATGAAACAAAACCAAAAAGAGATTCACAAAGAATTGAAGAAGCAAAGTTGATACTATGAAAAGATAAAGAAGACCTACTAATCAAAAGAGAGAAAACCCAGATTAATAAAGTGAGAGGCAAAAAGGGGAGACATTACAACTGATAACGATGAAATTTACAAAAATTTACAAAAAAAAAAAACATGGCTATACCTGAAAAGCTGTGATTCTACTCACTTCTAGGATCTAAAAGAAATGGATAAATTTCTAAAATTATATCAACTGACAAAGGCTGAGGGGTGGCGGGGTTTTTGGCTCTGGGTATGGGACAGAAAGAGTTAACTCTCTGGATAATCATTTTACCACTAAAGCCTTATCTCTTTAGTCGAAATGAGAAATACGGATTGGACAAGAATACTTTCTTTCCATATTTCAAGATTTTTGTTTGTTTGTTTGTTTGTTTTTCGAGACAGGGTTTCTTTGTGTAGCCCTGGCTGTCCTGGAACTCTCTCTGTAGACCAGGCTGGCTCAAACTCGGGGATCCACCTGCCTCTGCCTCCCGCGTGCTCGGATTCAAGGTGGTGCCACCACTGCCCGGCCCCTATTTTTCCGGGTTTTAAAGCTGTTTCTGGGTTACATTGTAGCCATATGACCACAAGGTTTTCACCCTGTAACTATTGGAAACACCTCTGATGGGCCTGAAGTCCCGAGCTTTGAAGGACATCTGTCACAGGGGACTCTGTTACAAACACAGACTTTCTCTTTGGTCCCAGTTCGAAAGTTCCCAGTCACTGCTCCTTAAAGAACTCTTAAAATCGAAGGTTTCCTACAGCAATCTCACCAAGGGCGTGTGAACCAAACAATGAGCAAACACATAAGCTCCCTGCTGGGAATTGGTTAAAATAGGTTCTGGTGTTAAAAGAAGAGAAAGAACTTTGAAACCGCTTGCTGCTACCCACCATCGGATGAAGCTATCAGAGGAAAGCGCCCCAATTTGGCAGTAGAGAGGATGAATGGCCTGTCCAAAAGTGCCTTGGCGTCCAGGAGGGCTGGGCTAGGGCGACCCCATGATATCAGTACCTTCCCTGGCTTGTGATTCCGCCCAAGAACCTGGGCAAGACCACAGCCACAGACCCAAATCCTGTTTGGGTCTTAATCCACGCCAGGACTTAGTATGGTTGCTACACAACCTCTACCTACCCCAGTTCTGGGCCCACGCTTTTGTGAGCATTTCCTGTCCAAGACCATGAGCTTCCTGAGGGACAGCAACTGCAGCTTTCACGGTAATACCTGAACCATACAACTGCCCGAAAATATCACCAATGAAAAGAAACTCTGAAAAGCAGAAATGCACGTGAAGTTCCCTGTGGGCACCGAACCCACTAAAGCATCAGATGCCATAGTTAAATGGGTCAGGAAACCTGGGAAATACTGAATGAAGCAAGAAGATGTCCACTTTCAAGTTGGAAGCTTAAAAAAAAAAAAAAAAAGATGGCAGGCCGAATAGGGTAAAGTGGCTTTACTATACAGGCTGCTGAAGAAGTCATATTATTTCCTGGACTGGATTAAAACACAAACAGGGTTTGATTTTTTTTTAATTGTGCCATTACTGGGCAGAATCAAACACCAGCAGCACAACCTGGTGTTACAGGGTCATCTTCTCCATCCTGGGTGAAGAGACGCAGCCGTGACTGACAACCCCTCTGTAGCCACATACGAACCCTTTCGTCTGTTTAAAGAGGATTCGTAAGAAACAAGAGTGTTCATCATCCTAATTGGATCACTCCCCTATTCATAAAAACAGATTTGTTGGGACTGGAGAGATGGCTCAGCAGTTTAGAGCCCTTACCACTCCTGCAGAGTCTCTGTGTTCGGTTGGTTCCCAGCATCCACACGGTGGCTTAAACTATGTGAACTCCAGTTCCAGGGGATCTGTGCCCACCCCACCCCCCACCCCCGCACGCGTGCGCACACTCACCAAGTGTACATACATACTTGCAGGCAAAACACTCATAAAATAGAAGTAGAAATAAATCATGTTTTAAAGAAAGAAACGGAGAGCTAACCAAGCAGAAGGAACGTAGAGGGCTCCCTTAAAAAAAATAAAGTTAAGAAAACTAAGAAATAGAAATATGATTATATGGTAATTACCAACACCTTAAAGCTCAAGTCGTTACAACAGTGACCGGCAGGAAAACCAGAAGTTTAAAAGCTCAAGGAAGTGGGGGAGGAAGACGGAAAGAGAGGAGAGGGAGAGAAACAGATTGAGGGAGGGGCGAAATGGAGAGAGAATTTGGAGGTACTGGAGTTTGGCGGCGTCTTTTAGGGGTTGGAAGAGCATAAAACGCGGGAAGACACGCAGCAGAGGAGGGTGGACTCCACACAGTAATGTCAGCGCGTGGTTAACTCAGCTCCAGGTTCCAGAGTCGAGTTAAAAAGAAAGTAAGCCTAAGAAGTTGTCTGAGGTTCTCTGGAGATGGGCCGAGGGAGGCGCTGAGGGTCCTGCCGGCGCGGGCGGAACCTCGGTGGCTGTGCGTCGGGAAACGCCGTGCGAGATCGCCACGGGAGCAGCAGCCCGTGGCCGGCTGGTGGGAGCGGAACGAGGCCGCAGAGCCGCACTCACCTGATCGCAGAGTCACAGCTCCGAGGCTCGCCTGTCGGTCACAGCTCCGGGGACCCGGGCGAGCGGCTCGGGGAGAAGATCTGCGATGCCCGCGCAGCTGCTAACTTTTGCTTTCGAAGGCTCCACGCCGGGCCCGCGGCTCCGGGAGTGCGCTCACTTCCTGTTCCCACCCGGCTTGGCCACCGTTTCCCAGCAATTCCAAGAAGCCAGGCTTTAAAACCTGATCACGCGAGGTCAGGGAAGGAGAGCCGATCAAGCGCCCTCCGCAAAAGAGCGGGCTCCAGCCTTAAGCAAGGAGGACGAAAACTCGCAATTGTATGAGTTCTGCGAAAACTTCACGTAGCGGAGAGAAATGACTCATTCCGCAGCAAGTTAATCATTAGTTGGCATCATGGTGCCAGTCAGCCGTCCTTGGTATAGGCTGCCCCACTGTCCCTGGCCTTAGGAGCTCCCGCCAATTCTTGAGGACACTTCCTTATTCTCCTCCCCACCCCTTCTGAGACGGGCTAGGAACGTGGCTGTGGGGTGGAGTGTTTGCTTTGCATGCAGAAAACCTACACCGTGTAAACCGGATGGGTAAACCAGATGGATGCCTGGTGCACGCTTGTAATCTCAGCACTCAGGGAGGTGGAGGTGGGAAGATTAGAACTAGCAAGATCCAGAATCAGTCAGGGCAGAAAATGAAAGAACACACACACTCATGCGAGCCAATGCCCAATTTCCAACCACTCTGAAGAAGGAAGCGATTTCACACTGGACTTCAAACTACCAGCAAGGGTAGTTTGATGCAGTCCCCACCCCAGTTCCGGGGACCACAGGCCATGCACAGAGTCCCCACCCCAGTTCTGGGGACCACAGGCCATGCACAGAGTCCCCACCCCAGTTCTGGGGACCACAGGCCATGCACAGAGTCCCCATCCCAGAGTCGGGGCCACAGGCCATGATTCCCACCTGTGTGCTGGAGACCTGAACTTAGGTCATTACCCACTAAGCCATCTTCCCAGACCTCTAAGGTTTTACTTCAAGATGCCGTCTTGGTTAAGTTGTCCAGGCTGACCTTGGCTTAATATCCCCCTCCCTCCATCTCCCAAGTAGCTGGGATCACAAGCTTGTGACGCTAGGCCAGGCTTGTTCTGTCTTTTTATTCCCATATCCCCCAGACAGAGCCATAAAGAGATTTAAGATTACTCACAAACAGGGTGTGGGGGTAACCTGGCAAGAATCTGGCAGGAAAAGAGCCACAGTCCATACCCCATAAGGGCCACTGACCCAACACACACACACACACACACACGCATAGTCACACACACCCATAAGGGCCACTGACCCACAACGCACGCACGCACGCACATACACACACGCATACTCACACACACTCACACACACACACGCACACACAAACTCACACACACAATCACATGCACACACACTCCAGGGAGGGGGAGGGCTTAGAATCAGCAGGTTCCAGATTCATTGCCTTGGAATGGTGGCAGCCATCCTTATGGTCCCCTGGTCCGGGAAGGACTTGGAAACGGTAGGGTATGAGACTTCTACGATTGTCCCTGCTATTGCCAGGTGTACTGCCTCTTATTGCTGGAACAAGATGTCTAACAGCAAGCAATTTAAGGAAGGAAGACTTTATTCTGCCTTACAGTTCAAGGAATACAGTCAGTCGAAGCAGGAGGCTGGGTGTGTAATCAGGAAGTGGGGCTAGGCTAGGGGCCAGGCCACTCCCAGGAGCTCATTGCCACAGCCTTCCCAGGCAGCTCCACCAGCTAGGGACTAAGCACTCAAGGGAGACATGTCATCAAACCACAACACCAGCAGTGAAAGCTGATAAGGCCAGACCAGTCTGACTATATATGGTGCCCATCATCTGGCCACATATATCCACATAAGGCCTGAGAAAGCCAAAAAGGAAAGTTCACAACACAGAGTCAAACATGGCTTCCTGGTGCAGCTTCCTGTTGACCAAGGTCTCTGAAAAGACTCGGTGTAGAGAGACTGCTTGTGGCTGAAGCCACCAGTCACCAGCACCAAGCACTAAACTGAGCCCTGCTGGTGGCTAACCTAGCTGTCTGAAATTTGTCTCACACAATCAGATGAAACAAAGACAGGATCCAGACAGAAAAGAATCTCTAGACAGGGTACAGTATTTTTTAAAATGTGATTAGATGTGGAAGAACGAAAAGAAGAAGATGGATATAGACATTCATAGAAAAAATAGTTTAAAAATAATAAAGTCTTTAAAAAAGAGTGAAGTGGGAGGAAGGGAGGGAGAAAAGAGTAAAATAATATCTTTAAAAAATAAGCCATATAAAGACCTTATATGGTGCTTGGCTAATTTTAAATTTTTTTAAATGTTAATAACAGAGAATAACAGCAATGAGAGGGTTTGTGAAAGGAACTGCTGAATTAAGCCTGCCTAGATACTTTAGGAATACCTTAACTTTAAGTCAGAAAAAGATTTGCTTTGGGGAAGAGGCTATGTTTTTGTTTCTGCAGAAAACGAAAGGCTGTGGATTCACTCAACGTTAAACTGGATCAGGTTTGATTAGGGGAGACCACCCCCTTCTGAAAATCCTGGCTACATACATACTGATATAAAGAAATAAACCTATAAAAACCACAAGACAGGTGATGTGTATTTCATCTACTCAAAAACATAAAAAATAATCATCTTTAGCTGGCTTGTGCAAACACACACACACACACACACACACACACACACACACCACACATACACAGCCCATACTTGTGTTAATGTAGATATGGATGTTATCTTTGAAAGTGTGTGTGTTTTCTGAGCAAGGGGGCCACATACCAATGAAAACAGGTGGCCTAGATGATCCAGCCTCTCAGAGTGCCTCTGTTGCATTTTCCTTAGAGTTCTGCATCCAGAACAGATTCAAGGCTGCTGGTTGAGATGGTCCAGCCTCATAGACTACTCCAACCAGGACTACACATAAATCTTGTACTTTCCCATTACACAGAGACTGGGCAACAAATGTTACAGCCAGTTTTTCTAGGACTTGATCATTATCTTGATTTTCTCAAGGTCCCCTACAAATGTTATTGCCCACCCTGCCCCCCAACAATGAGAAGCAGTCTAGAGAACACAATGCCCACATTCCCAAGAGGTGGGGTGGGTGGTTTTTGGTCATTCAGTGCATTATGGATATTTGTCATCATTGGGGGATTGGTTATAAAAGATTCAGGGATCTCTTTCCAATGGAAAAGGGGGGTTATAGTACAGAAATGACGCAAGGGTGGATTGTTGGGTCTACTTTTGAACAACCACCTGTCTCAAATATTTCACATTGTTATGGAATTCTGTGTATTAATACAAAGTTAAGGTTATTTTTTGTTAGAACATACCATACTTGTTTAAGGTATCATACCTGTGCAGCTCATTTAGCAACGGAATGTAAATTTCTAGTCCTTGAAAGTTATCATTGCAAACTATTGAGGATAATAAAGAAATGCAGGTTAGTAGTTAGTCACATATTAAAATCAAACTTGTTGCCATGCTAAGTGTGTTTTCAGGATCATACAGAGATATATATATATATTTTAGACAGATGGTAATCTCTAAACACTTCAAAGACCTATGGAATATGGCATTTAAACTGTTTTAATGACATAAGGGTTTTCATGACAGTGAGCCACATCTGCTCCTGGCAGCACCAATTTACTTATAAAAAAGGATGTCATGCTTCAAAGAACCTCCATATGGAGTTTTCTTTCCTTGTGTCCAAAAGCTAGTCATGTGGGCAAGGGGCTACCCATGCCTCAACTGCTGACAGTATGCTGTTCAAACTGGACAAGCAGGACACACACACACAAAAAAAAATGACTTCCAAACTTTGCTAAGATAAGGTAGGACAGTTCTTCAAAAGTTTTCTGCTTCACAGAAAATTCTGTCAGATATTCTAGTCCTGTAGAGGGAGGATGGATGCCCCAGGGTCACAGAGGATCCTTGGGTGACCATCTAGGAAGCCAGCCCCAGGGTCATAGAGGATCCTTGGGTGACCATCTAGGAAGCCAGCCCCAGGGTCATAGAGGATCCTTGGGTGACCATCTAGGAAGCCAGCCCCAGGGTCATAGAGGATCCTTGGGTGATCATCTAGAAAGCCAGATGATTCTGTTGCTGCAGTTTTGGAAGTTGCTTTCTCTGTACTTCCTGTTCACTCAAGTAATATTTTATCCTTCTTGGGTCTCTGATGGAGATTAAAGGCTAGGCAGTTATATTTTTACAGTTTTTCTTGTTAATAAATTCAGAAAAGAAACTTATGTAAGAGATGTAAAGTTTATAAGGTTGAGAAACATAAAAACAAGTTGTTTACTGAAATGATGTTTTAAAGTCTAACGGGGTATTTTTAGGATGGTAATACAAGGTATGACAAAATGGTTTAGGTATAAAACTTTGGACTAAGATAGATAATGGAGTATTTTCTCTAAATTTGGTATTGGTTCAGTAAAGTGGCAGTTATGGGTTCTTCTCTAAGATCCATGACTTCTATAGCCCTGGGTAGTTAATTTCCCTTTTATTTTTTTTGGTTTATTGTTATTATTATTTGGTTTTTGGAGACAGGGTTTCTCTGTGGCTTTGGAACCTGTCCTGGAACTAGCTCTTGTAAACCAGGCTGGCCTCGAACTCACAGAGATCTGCCCGCCTCTGCCTTCGGAGTACTGGGATTAAAGGTGTGCACCACCACCGCCCTGCTTGAGATTTCCCTTTTATTGAGCAGACCTTAAACCCAATTAGAGAGTTTGGTTGTGGCCAAGGCATATAACCACTATTGCACCTCTAGGGCTATTGTGTCTTGCGGTTGTTGTTGTAATTCATGCACATCATAGCTGGGTAAGTATCTCCCCAGTCTCTACCTCAGACTGTTGGTAAATGACCTACATGGTGCTTGTGAGTTCAAAGCTATGTGTGCGCCTGGCAAATGAACTGGGGTGTGACCATACACACAATCGGCCCATGAGGTATAGCAACATGTTCCGGATCATTTTTAGCCCAGAACGCTGCCCAATTCTAGAATTATAAATAAATCCAACTAAGATTGGAAAGAACATGAACTAAGACATTTCTTTTTCCAAAGCTTCACTGCCTCGATAAATAGAAAATTGTATGTGTTTAAGTTGACGATACATTTGTTTTTGTTACTTATTAAGTGAAATGCAGCATTGATCTTTTCACGTATAGGGATTTTCATCACTTTGGTACTCACCTACTTGTATATGAGTATTATTATTGTGTGTGATGTCTGAGGTGGGGATGCACACATCTGTGCACAGAGGCTAAGGAAGGTGTCCAGTGTTTCCCTTTATCACTCTCTGACTATTCCCTTGAGGCAAGGTTTCCCCTGAACCTGGAGCTTGGGTTTTCTGAACTAAGCTGGCAGCCCTAGCAATGCCACTGCCTCTGCGCCTTTGGAGCTGGGATTTAGTCATAGGTAGGATGCCAG